TTACAGGCCATCGCTCTAAAGAATTCCTAACGTGTTTCGCAGCACACAAGATCATTCAGACCTGATGAGACCTGATCGACTGGTCCATGTTTGCAGTGTCTGCAGCTATGGGATGTCCTTTGCAGATGTATTCATAAGCAGGAGGTTCACCGAATGGATCATGATCTCCTGGCAGTGATCGAATCACTCAAGTTACAAGGCTTTTGGAGGCCTGGAGCTCCTAGCTTCACCTGTGATTTCTCCGCTTCGATTTGTCACACCAAAAGCATTAAAGACTAAAATTTAAGTGTGTCACACCGCATTCGCGAATCCCCCGTCGCTGCTATGCCTTGAAAGGTGGAAGGGATTGGGTTTGCTTTGCTTTCACGCTGGGAAAATTCTATATATAGGCTAATGCTACGCAAGTAGGAAAGCCATCGCAAGTAGGAAGGCCATCGCCTCCAGGTTGGAGAGCTCTAAAAGATTCCTAGTTGCCTTAAACAGATGTTCTTTTTGCGTCCCCACCGGTCACTCTCGGCCCCGTTCCTTCGACGCGGGGGACGTGCCCCGCGCTTCGGAGGCGTCGGAAACGCCCGCCCGCCCTCCTGCAAGTGGTCATCCTCTTCTGGTTGTTGCCTCAAAAACAGGCCGTGAGAGAAACAGTGACGGACTTCAGCTAACCTCTCTCTGAGGTGACTTTCGACTTCATTTCACTTACCATCACATCTGCTTCGTGATCCAAAAATCTTCAGCACCGAGAAACCAACTAGTAACAAGAAGCTACTAGGAGCAAGGGCATCGCTACTAGTAGCGAAGGGCATCGCTACTAGGAGCAAGGGCGCTACTAGGGTCTCCTGGCATCACTACTAGTAACAAGAAGCTACTAGGAACAATTTTGGATCGTTGATCGTTGCTCCCTTTTGGATCGTTTTCGCTTCGCCTCCGGAGGTGGGCTGCTTGGCCCTTCCGAACCCTGGGCGAAACGACTGGAACCGCTTGACAAGACAGACGCAACTGGAGACGACGGGAGAGTAGAAGAACTTCATGTCACATGTGTCACATGAGTCATGTGTCTGTGCATGTGAAGGAATATATTAGAAATGTATATGATGAGTGATAAACACACATCATATATCATCATAATATACAAATTTGTTCCAACATGTTCTCCACATCGGCAGGAAGAATGACTGTGGAGCAACATGGATCAGCCAAGAGTCCAGTTTCGTGGACGTTCGCGGGCACTCACGGCGTGTGCGAGGTTGCTGATTCCGCTGAAGATCTCACCTTGCATCCTGCAAACTCAAGACATGCCGGAAAGGTCTTGCACTTAAAGCTGTCATACGTACGTAAGAAGGGTCTAGGAGTCTAGAATACCTCCAAGTCCATCACCAAGTCCAGCCTGTCAGCTTCTGCATCAGCTTTGGGCGTGCTGAGTACCCTGGCAAACTGGCTTGTCCCTGTTACTCTTTACCGAGGCCAAATGAAGCCTTAAAGAAAAGCCGATCATGGCATTGCTTGTTCTGCCTCGAGGCTGAGAGCCGCCTGTCCAAGTTGTTTGCACCTCTCCTCTTGGAAGCCTCCTGCATGAAGACATAGAAATAAGCAGCTCCAAGGAAGCAAATACAGGAAATCTATTGACATTTCTTCAAGCTTCCTTTTCCCGGTTCACTGCTGCTCCTCTTCCCTCCTCTTCCGCTCTTCAGTCTTCGCTTGTAATGCCAGGGCCCAATCTGATGGCCTTGGCACCAAGGACAAACCAAACAAAGAAAAAAATCAATAAACCGAGAAGCAATGGCCTCCAACTACTAGCGATGGCCTCCAACCGAATAGCCATGGCCTCCTACTGTGGGCACTGGCTTTGCTCCACACTCGTGGACTTGGCGTCGCACTGTGAGCTGAAGTGGCAGACCACCTGAGCGTGAAACACAGCCGCATGTCTCACGATCCAGCCATGATCGTCGATTTGCCCGTCATTGGCCGTGGCATCCTGCCACGGCTAATCACTGAAAGAATAAGCATTGACACAGCTAGGAGGAAAGGGTATCGCTACTAGGAGCAAGGGCGCTACTCTAGGGACAAAGGCCTTAAAGATGTAAAAGCGACGTTTAAGGCTCCCTGCTGGGGGAGGTGGCCATGGCTTGTTGTGCGACCATGGGGGCACGACCACCAGACCGAACTTTGCAGCTCTTGCTTCGTCCGCCTTCACCTTGGGGCTTGGGTGATTTGCCTTTTCATTCCATGATTCTGAATTCTGCTGTTTTTAGATCTAGAATTGAGAATATATAGCAAAATCATGTTTTTCTCTGTCACTGAGTTGGCAAACGACCTGGTCTCAGGCCAACACCATCTTCCCCAGCGTGGTATTGGCCAAGACCTGCGAGCGCTCTTCGTCACACGTTCCACGCGTTCCATGTCCGATTCGCCGTGTTGTGCGGCGGGCTGCGTTCATGTCCGTGTCCAGCCTCTCGAACGGGTGGCTGCTGAATCTTTGGGCCTAAGATGAGAGGGACCAAGGGACAAAGATTGGTGTGGCGAGAAACTACCAAGTAAAAGACCAAAATTGTATCAGGGCGCTATTGACACGAACCTGTTCATTCCGAAGCTGGCCAGGAAAGCTGAGTTTGCCAAACAATCGCCGGACTGCCGGATGAGTTGCTTATGCACTCCACACGCTTGCTCTCAGCTCTCAGCTGAGACTCCTTCAAGATTTGTTTACATCAAACTCAGCCAGGATCATCCAGAACCTAAATCCTCAATCCCATCCGCAATGATCATCATTCAGAAATGCCTCCCAAAATCCGACCAAGAGCAGCCATAAACTCCCTTCCCTGAGTCCCCAGCTTTTTGTCCGCTTCACCTCGGCATCACCGCAGCGCAGCGCAGCCGTGTGCAGAAGTTCCGCTTCATCGCTTCGCGACGCCATACCGTTGCCAAACAAGAGGCTGTGTCCGCCGGCACCTGCAGAGTGCAAAACGTCCCAACTTTCATAAACTGTCCATCTAAATTGCATGGGCGCTTCTTCCGAGAAGGCAGCCCATGCTCTGATAGGCAGTATACTCAGTACTATTCAGTACTTCATGCTTGTCTCACATAGTGAACAGGTAACCTCAGGTTCGTTCTAAGCCGAATCGTCTTGGAGCCTTGAAAGGTTCGCTGGGTTTGGGGATTGCCCAAATCTCTTGCCCATTCAGACAGCTCTGCGCCGTTACAAGTCAAGATAGGTTGGATAAGCATAGTGGTGTTCTAAAAATATCCTTAGGCTGAGGCTGTTTCCTTAAGAAACTGTCCATATCAGGCCTCCTCCTCAAATGAACTCTCTGACCTGCAAGGACCAGGAATCCATCAGATGCGCTCGAGTGTTGCGAACATTCATTTTTCTGTTGTTCCATAATAAGGTTCAAACGGGCAAAGCTTCAAAGTGTCGGCTTCGCTGACGTCGCTCCGCACTCTCCATCTCAGTAAGTCGGGAATGGTTTTGCTTTCTTGTGGTCTACCAAGGCACTGCATGATGCCATGGTTGAGAATGGGGTCTTCTGCTCTAACAAAAGCTGAAAGAAGCCTTCTGGTTACCAACAAAACACATGCAAGAAATTGTTAAGTCCATCGCCCATCGCCAAACCAAGTCTCGCAAGAGTAAGGGAAGGGGTCCGAAGTGGGTGCGAGCAATGATTTGACCAGTTCTTTCGTTCTAACCTTTGGGCTTCTAAGACCCCAGTAAATCTCCGTGTTCCGCTCAAAAAGCCCTTCTGAGTGGGCTATTTACTGGCTCCATCCGTCGCACCAAGGCCCCACACAGCGCTGGATGCTGCGACCGGCCTCGCAGCATCGACAGGTGTCGGATCGTCTTCTCGAAGCGGACGAGAGACTGGTCGAAGACACCAAGCGACTGGAGAACGGCATGGTTTTCTCATGTTTTCTCGTTCCAGCCTGGCGACCAGAGTTCGCTCTCCTCAGAGGTATCTCTGCCTGGTGGAGAACGGCAAACTGAAATACCATAATATATATATATATATACAGTCATTAGAAGAAAAAAACATATTGGTTTGCCGAGTTCAAGAACTGAGTGGGAGAGCCTGTATAAGGATCCAGATTCAATACATCATGTTCTCTGGCCGAGCGCACTCAGTTTCTCCTAGCCAATTGCGCCATGGCTGGCCTGCTCGGAGATGAAGCACCTGTCGCAGCGCTCCAGCAATGGCCATTCGTGAGACCTGGGAGAAGAACAAAAAAGACACGGAAAAATATCGCAGTGTTCGTCGAAGTGTTCGTCGAAGTGTTCGAACACTTCATTCGTTTCGCCACTTGTGTTTTTACTCTCTGAGTCGGAAACGGCTTTCACTCGGATGCCCAGTGTCACCTGGCACGCCCCACCCATCAGCCGCATCCAGTAGTTTCTGGTGCAGAATATGTCCTAAATGTCCTAAACCACTCCAAGCGCGGCAGCCGAGCCGGACCTCGCGCTTGCTGACCTGAAGTACCGTGATATGGCAAAATGGCCAAACCAATATGCACAAACAACTGAAGTTGAGTAATATACAGGCAATTTTGCAGGATCCACTCACACTGACCAAGATACAAAGCACATTGGAAGGGAAGGCTGGAAACCATTTCACTCCATGGACCGCCAGTTTCCGTATTTCAGAACCATGGACCGCTGACGCAGACTTTTCTCCACACGGAAGTAGATTGCAAAACAGGCCGAATTCTCATACAGTGAATGGCTTGAACACGGTCGCAGCGTGCCAAAATGCAGAAAATACGATGTGCTGAAGGATGTGAAATGATTTTTCTCTAATGATCGATCGACGTCAGCCAAGCCATGTGCAGGGGTGTTCAAATCAGCACTGCCATTTTGCAGTGCTAAGTTCATATTAATGGCACACCGGAAGGTGTGTTCATATTATATAAGCTGACTTGGTAAAGGGTCAAAAGTCAAAACGCAAGGAGAAGTACAATTCTTGAAATCGGCGCTTGAATTGTGATGTCCACTGTCCACATTTAAAGTCCGCACAATCTCGCAGCATTCCTGTGTCGGATTGTCAGGGCTGAAATGCAAACAAAAGCCGGACAGCACCGTCAGAATGCGTTTCACGAGTCAGTCCTGACAGCAAGCCACTGGTACTGAGTAGTATTCTGGCATGCGTACCTCAAGGAATTGCAGGCTTGCTGACGAAAAACTATTACTTATACTTTACTTAGAGTTATCCCCCTTTGGAAGAAGGCAGGGCACATCTTTTGACAGACTTTCCTGACAAGCGCTGCCTAACATGCGCGCTGACGCATTGTTTTCTTGCGTCAAGTCTGGTACGTGTCCTGACACCTAATTACCATAGAGGCTGGACATTGTTCTGGAACGTTTCTGACGCTCGTCCTGCCGTGAAGCCTGACATGTGTTCTGGCAAGTCTTCTAACATGTACTTCTGACATATGCTCTGGCAGTGCTCTGGTGTTGTGACATAAGATCCGAATTCGGCTCTGATATGTGTTCTGCCGTGTATTCTAATGCTTGTTCCGTCATTTGGCAGTCTATGCAGTGATGCCTGCATTCTTCCTGGCATCTTCCAGCACTGTTTCTGGCATATAATACTCTGACATCCTCTCTGGAATTCTATTTGGCATATCTGATCTATCTGGAATGGCATGTGTTCAGGTCCGTGCGTGTCCGAGCTCCAAGCTCCCTAAAAAGTGATAAAAAGTGCGCGGGGTCCCTGTGCCCAGACGGAGCTAGCGCTACCATAAAAAACTCTCCCTGCCAAGATCTCTGGCGCCTTCTGCATCGATCGGTCGCCAAGATGCTCGTCCAGCTTGGCAACAATCACTGACCATGCGTAAGAACCTTTAGATGCCAGGTGCTGGAGCGGGATCCTGCATTGGACATCTTGGATGGCAGGGGGGCACTCCACCGACATGCCCTCAGTAAAATGTTCTATCATAGATGACCATAGAAAACATATATACAATAACAATAACAATAGTTCTGATGCCCGCTCGAGGCAAGTGTAGGCAAAAGTAGGGAGGTCTTGCACGTACAGTGGACCATATTGTCCAACCTAGCGATGGCCTCCAACCTACTGGGGCGATGGCCTCCAACCTACTAGCGCTGTGCTTTGCAAGGGGGACGCAACTCCATCAATCGACTGGTCCTGCATGTGTTGAAAGAGCTCGTCTACGGCGCATTTGGACGTCTTGCGGGTGTGTTTCTGAGGACGAGCACGCTTTTGTGGCTTTGCATCAATGAGGTCATGAACGAAGGGGCAAGTGGCGAGAGAGCATCCAAAGCGGCTCGCATAAAACACACAAGCGTGGCACTTGCTTGCAGTCTCCTCAGCCATCTGCTTTGCAGGCTTCGTAGGCTGCAAACACTCATCGCATACTTCCTCTGCATTGTTTTTGTACTTCAATTTGAGCTCCGAGGGCTTCTCAATGGGCAGAAGCTCAATTCGAGAGTCTTCGAGCCATGTGTCACCACAGGACCATGAAGCACTTCGTGCTCGTGGTCGGATCTCCTCTCACAGAGCAGGGAACAAGTCAAAAAATGAGCTTTGAGGATGTTCAACATGAGCTTCAACAAGGCTCCATCGGTTCCATCGCTTCAAGGCTTTACGCTAAGTTGTCTTGTGATCTTCTGAATGGCAGGCCTCACCCTCTTGGACGTGCAAGAAGGTGTTCTTTTCTACGATGAAATAGGAAGCAATCTCCGCCATGACGAAGACACGGCCGTGAGTACAAATGTTTTATTTATTTTTATTTACTCAAACAGGAAAACTTGAGCCAGAGAACTTCAGTGAGGCTCCAAAAATATCTTTCTGACGTCTGATATGGTCCACTAATCATGGTCGAAGTGCTGACTGAATGACTGAATGAGTTGGTTTCAACAAGAATCAAGTGCAAAAGGAAACAATGCCTTGCTTATAGACCCATGTGCCAAGTGCTCCCAAGATTCTCTTCAGTTGAAACACGCGCTCCGCTACTATTTCTGCCCATCTGGGAGTTCCACCAAGCACGTCCGAAGCCACTCGGAGGCCTTTTGGGCCAGTCGTGTGGTGGTCGCATCGAGGTCTGGGGGTCTCCCTGTGGGTTTTGAGGGAAACAACGATGAAAAACTATCTGGCAAAAGCTGTTCGGTGTTCACGTCCGGCAAAAGCTCGAGCTTGTTCCACCCAGCAAGACCCGTGACTGCGTTGGTTACTCAACGTTGCTATGGTAAATAAGGCCTTATTGCATTTACCCTATCCGCGAATTGCCCTGAACAAAAATCATAATTGCAGTTGGAACACAATTGTTCAGCCCCATTGAGATGACACACAATTGAAAACACCTTCATACAGCATGCTGCATGTTGGTTTCTCGGCATACAATTCAATGTATGAACAGCTAACTTCAACAGTTTCTACGCATTTTGAATTGCTATATGAAGTGCAAAAAAAACTCCGACAACAAGCAGCAAACTCGACATGATGATTAAACGTGGTGCAGAACAAATGTCGGTCCTTCAAGTGTCTCAGCATGAGTCACCATGCCACTCTGCTTCAGTGATTCCTCGTGAGCACAAATCGGGATGTGTGGGGTAAAGTCATCAAAAACAAACATGTTTTCCAGGTCCAAGACACAATGGGGCACTGAAGTGGAATCATTTGACATTTTTCACTTCCAGCACTGGCCAACGGCCGGAAAAAACCTCATTGTAAGTCGGGTTGTGTGCTTAATCGAGTGAACGACACATAGTTTCCTGGTGATCCAAATGGAACGCTCTCGTTCTTTGCGTTGTATAAAAACGAGGTCATCCGCGGCATCCCCAAATAGTCTCGCCCTTTTCTGGTGGGACCCAAAAGGACCGAGGAGCCTCATACCTCCCGGCCGCCGCATCTTGCGCGTCACTGACCTGTCGCTGATTCTCTGGGCACCTCGGAGAGGTCGATCTCCTGCTTGAAGTTCTCATGTCGCCTCCTAAAGCCCAAACAGTCTGAACCATGGTCCACTCAAGAAAATAAACCGAGATGTATCCCCTACAAATCCAAGTGCACTCTCAGAAGGTACTTGGACCCTCCAAACCTACATGACAGTGTTTCCAGTCACAATCTGAGAAACCCTAGGGATAGGGATATATTGGTATAAATATACACCCAACCCCACCACCGATAATCACCTTTTGGGCACCATGTGCTACACCGAGTTTGTGCCAGGCTGCCAGATGGGAGAGAAACACAAGCCCATGAAGGCATGGATGCATTGCAATACATGAGGTGGATGCACGCGAGAGACGGGAGCTTTTTTGCAGCCCCAAATCACAACGCAAATGGACCCGCACGCAAATTGCATGACTGAATGCACGGCTTTACGTTTTGATTTCGGTGGATACCTTCGTCAACCACCATGCCCGATCTATGCGGTGTGTCTCGCTTTCGCTTTCAATGTTTGTGGCCCTGCAAGCTTATATGAACTTATATGGGTGGCCACACGGACATGTTGAGGAGGAGACCATGTGACCTTGTCCTTGATCACTTTCTTCTTTTTGCAGTGGACTACACTACAACCCTGGAACCTTATAGCTTTTGGCTGGGTGTCCAAGTCCACTTTGTGTATCGTTGTATCGGGCCAGGCGCCCTCTTCACTGCTAGTGCTGAGCCGTTTGAGGGTCAAGGTGGCCACAGACAAGTATTCCACACTGCTCCCCCAGAGGGTGTACTTACCGTTACTTGCCTCGCTTAATGCCCTTTTTACACTTGATATCTTGTGTGACATCGGTTTTGTCAAACGTAGCTTCGTCAGCTTCGACGTCCACCCTGTCTTCCGACCTCCAAGGACGATTCGTGTTTCCTCTTTTTCTACAAGGCTTGCTGTAAAGGTTCAACCAATTGGACATGCCTTGAATCATCTTGTGGTTGACTCCCAAAAGCAACTGACCATGTAGAAGCAGCGCCACTAAGGAGGAGTAGCACAGCTTGAAAGGATTGGCGCTGTTCGCTTGAAGATGTATGATGAGGTATACCTTAGCCTTGCCGGGAATGTCTGCGTCAGCGGCTTTGCCACAACAAGGGCTGGCAGACCACTTGGGCAAAAGCTCATCTTTTTCTGACAGGGCAAGAATCTTGTCGCTGGACACCGGGAAAAGATCCTGCAACGCGCAGCGCCATTGCGATCGGTCTGTCCGAATGGAAGAAGGCGAGAGGGCTCATTTGCGACGGACTGACATACATCACCTGGATCATCACCTCCTTGTGCTCTTTGGTCTTCTTAGAAGCAGGCCTCTTCACCGCGGCGCTGCTCTATATCCAATTTGGCAAGGAACCGCGTGGTAATCTGGACATGAGCGTGAAGCGGAGAAGATGATGTCGCAGGCCTGTAACACTGTAAGAGAGACATAGTAAAGCATCTATAGCATGAATGTTGAGTACCCGATATTCACGCAGACATGACCACGCAGCCTACCCTCCTATATCTTGACATCTCCAGGCCCTTTCAAGGCTAAGAATGCAGATCTGCTTCAGCATCTTGAGTGCAAGGTCTTCAGGAACAGTTTCAGTCGATGAAGACGCTTGTTCAGGCGAAGCTACAAACTCGCCAAGACTGTTCTGGCCAAGATGGCGGCCAAGCCTTGTCTGGGATGGGCTGTTTGTACAAGAGAAGCGTCTGTAAGTCCGAGAGGCTGAAGCGAAAGGTGAGCACTCCGGAATCAAGAGGCTTCTCCATGCTGCGCTTTTATACTTGTCATAGGCCTCTTTGTCGTGTTCAGCAAGCAGACCTTTGTGAATTGATGGGCTCACCAGGAAGACGAAAGTAAAGGGCCGACATGCCGAAGACAGATGTGACAGACCAAGCACAGCGCGCATGTCAGCCGAGTTGTCCCCTGGAAAGGTTCGACGGAGTAAATTCGATGTGAATCCTGGAATCATCCTTTGGCTCATCCTCTTACTCTATCTCGTTTGTCGCATGTGCGTTCTGCAGCAGTTCCTGGCTTAGCCATATCTACTTTGTCACCGGAAGGAGACTCCCTCATGAATGTTGCCAACCCTGTGCCTAAAGTTATCCAACGAGCTTCTTGGCCAGCAGTGTTAGTAGACGTTGTTGTGCAGCGGAAGCCCACCCTCATAGAATGCCCTTCGTGGCTTTGGACACTGTCTTGGGCACTTTCTCGACTTCGCCACTGGTGACCTTGGAGAGAATGCCCGCAGTTGGTCGGACCGTGACTGCCACTGCCACAGCCGGCTACAGAGTCAGAGTGGTTCGTTGTCCGTTGAAGCTGACTTGCCCAAGCACGTTGAGGGGAGATCCTGTAGATTATGATTATGAAGATGCCATGAGCTTAACACTATGAGACCTTGACACTTGCAGTGGCAGCTCACATTGCAAGAGCAGGATGCGGGCGTCTAAACCTAGGTATGCCTGAGGATACACTTCGCTTCGGTGTGCCTGAAGTTACGCGTAGCTATGATCAAAGATCAAAGATGCCTCGAGACTCTTGGGAGCAATCAATCTTTGATCATGCCTACATACCTACACCTAGGTATACATACAATATATGATATATACGTGTATATATATATATCTCAAAGATTGCTCTTAGGAGTCCTGAGGCATCTTTGATCTATTATATATATATACCTACACGTAGGTGCACGTAACTCCAAACATGTCTGAAATTCTCTGAGTACAGCATGTGCAAGCATACGTAGCACATATGCAAACGTGCTTATGCTATGTGGTACCCCCTTTCAGCTGTAAAAAAATGATCTTAATCTGTAACATTCCAATATAATCTAAAAACACTGCAAATACCAATAAAAGGAAACATGTAGTTATTGGAGGGGGTACATATATATATATATATATGTATACGTATATATATATATATTATCTCATAATAAATAGTCTAAACATATATTAGACCAAAAAGAGAGTCCCTTAATCTATAGAGATATCGTTGGTGCAAACCAAAGGGACTTCATGTTGAGAGATAAGTTAAGGTTAAACATCCAGACCCTACAATGAGCTGTCTGCGGTTTCGCAGCTGCACGGACTTGTCCGTTATATCAAGACTCAACCCCGTGGTCCATTCTTGTTCTGCCTCCTGCTCTAAGTTTGCTTTTGCAAAGTATCTAGATTTCACTAATATTTCACTATAGTCTGATACTTTGTGCAAAAGAATGGATCGACATTGAATTCTGATGAACTTTACTGTGATTGACTTGCATCCTCCAAGCATGACAGCCGAGGTCGAAGCCTCGCTAATGCACTCGAGGCCGTGCTGATCAAGGAGCTCAACTCACGCTCGCCCTGTAAGCCGATGCAGCCGGTAGGAGAATTCCACAAGAGGAAATGTACTACGTTGAAATGGTCTTATAAATGCATTACGATCCTAGAATTCTGCGATTCTACCAGACGTGCGCTATTCCTGATTGCTGTCTGGATGTCAAGAAAATGGCCCTTAATATAATGTAGAATCTTGATTGACAACCCCCCCAAATATGGACTCCAAAATATTCCAAAAACCTCTTCAGGCCTGGGGGTTGAAGTATGTTGAAAATTCATCAAGAGTCTACATGAAGTCTTAAGATTGGGTCTTCTCGACTGGTCTTCTCACTTTCTTTCTGACCCGAAGAGCGAATTCAGCGAACGGTTGCTGACCGCGTGAGTCAACAGCCACCGCTCTTTCCGTTTCGGCCTCAGTCAGCGGCCAAGACATGCGAGATTTACATGATTTACCCTTAGTAACATCATGTTGCTCTATGATCAACCAAACCATGTCGCAAACATATATAATATATTCATATATCCCTCCTTTTTTGGTATTTTACAAACTAATTTAGTGTTGCTATGCGTTGCTTGAAGATGCTTCAACATGGTTCAATGTTCTGTCTAAGTGAGTGGTTCAATGTGGTTATTTCGTAATGGTTCATAGTTCAGCGACGAGAACATCAGCAATGCAAAATACGAAAGCAACAATGATGCTTTGAGTCCGTTTGGCTCACAAATCTAATCGTTAATCTCCAGTGCCTCTGCCTTTGAGAGGGACCAGTGCTTTTGAGAGGTCCGTTTGGCTCTAAAGACCCCAGACTCGTCGATCCCCGGACCGATGTCTGCTCAGTCTTCTCCGGATTCGAGCGATGAGTCGAATGCAAAGACTTGCAGCTCAAGTCGAAGTGATGTCCTTACTGCGTCAGTGCTTCATGATGCTTCATGATTCATGATGCTTCATGGCAGTCAAGATGAGCCGCTTCTTAGATTTCATATGGGGTGCGAAGGTCTTGCTGACGGTGACCTTTGGAATTGCAGCTAAACGAGCCTCCAAATAACTGGCCCATTCCATGTACTGTTGCTCGTCTGGTACAGAGCGTCGATACAAATGCTTCAGGGTGTTGGGTGCATCTCGTAGATGTGGCAAACAGCATGGAACGAGGATACAAGTTCGAAGTGTATCCAAACGCTCAAAGAGTTCAACTGCAAATACGCTGAGATTGCCACACAAGTGGAGACCAACTACAATGGTGGGGTAGCCAACTTCATCAATCCTTTCCCTCAATACCTGCAAAGCACCATTGTCCAGCAAGTCTTGCTGAAGGTATGAAACTGTCCGGATGCCTGCAGCAGCGTAGTGAGGAATTCCATCTGGGCTCACATAGTCAACAGCTGAAATCGACAAGTTTGGAGCTTGCGATGACACAATAGCGCTGGTGAGCGACTTGCCACAGCATAGGTCGATCAGATGCCAGTTATCATGCAGAACACTAGGGCATGCCTTCTCTATCTCTGCAAGAATGCAAAGAGATTCAGATAGCTCTTTGTGGAAGCTTCTTGACTTGTGGAAAGTGTGGAACTCAGGCCTCATGAGAGAGGCCCAGGTCGCATTCTTTCGAAAGAACTCTTGCAACAAGGGATTTTGATGTTGGCCTGCTCTATACCTGTCGGCTAAAGACGCAATCCTTGGTCTCCTCCCAACAGGAGCTCCACAACATGGACATCTTTGTTTAGCTGTTTCCTTGAGTTCCCTTTCGGCCAACTTCCTCAGCCTGGCGCCCAAGTCCCCTTCCCCCGCCAGCTCCGCGTAGTCCGCAGCGCTCCGCCCGCTACGGCTCACGGCCGCGACGTCCGCCGCCTGAATCCCAAGGCCAAAGTCCAAAATCCGCTCCACCAGGCGGGGCCAGCAGCGGCCAGCTGCACCAGCAGCTAACATCAGTGGAGTGCAGTCTCTGCGACGGGAGCGATGCTGCGGGAACGAGCTCCCGGAACGATTGAAATCATTCAGCAAATGCAGGGCCAACTGTTCGTCACCTTGCTCCAAAGCTGACAGCAAAGCAGCTGTCGGCCGAGGTATCTGACGCACGTGGGCTTCGTGCACACTTGGCAGTGCAAAGCACACGACGCATACGGTGCAAAGCACCACTACCGTGAGGCCGTAAGGAATAGCGCGCCTCTTCCGATGTCGTCCCTCACGCTTTCCCATGGCACAGGGCGCCTGGAGTGCCATTCGCCTTCGATTCGAGATCGAGGCTGCGGCACTCACAGCGACATCGTCCGAAAAAGCTGCTTGAGCTGAGCACCGTCAAAGACCCGAGTTCCAGGCTGCTGTGTAGAATCCTAGGAGAGTTTGGCCCCCTAGCCCAGTATGTTTAAGATGCGTTTCGCTCCCAACTACTCCCTCTCTCTCTCTCTCTCTCCCTCTCTCTCTCTCTCTCTGTGTCACAAAAAGGATCTGCAACCAGTGCAAAGTACTGAAATGTGCAGAATGTCACAGTAATTATGCATCAAAATCAAATAGCTGTGCTCATAAATCCGGGTCTACTGGATTTGCGAAGCGTCTAAATTTCTAAATTTAATAGAATCTGCACTCGGTATGACATCGTTTCAATACTATCTCTGCTGCTCTCGGGAAATGGCCATGCACGGAGATGCCGGAGATGCATTGCGAACCTCCGTGCTCGAGCTGAGTCTGGACATCCAAAGATGGACATGTCAACAGCCAAAGATGAAGCATGTCCCGGAAAACGTATGAAAACGACGCATGAAGGTTCAGGTTCTGAACCTTCACCATGCAAAGTGTGTCAGACCAGCTTGAAAGAGAATCTGCTTAGCATATCTACTTACCATGCTATAATAGTGCCTTGCTTGCATCAGGTCCTACAGAATGCGTTTGATGCAGATTAAGCTTGTCGTGATACAGTATCATCAGATGCCTGAAATAATGAACCCAAATAGCTCATGAGCTATATAAATAAACATAGTCAACCCAAATAGCATGTGGCTTTCATGTGCTCTGAGCCTGAATCATTTCCCAGCTCATTCTCCTCGCTTTGCTCATTACAGGGTGTGTATGTTCTGTGCACTTAGCCAAAGAGCAAGAAGAAAGTCACTCAGGTGTGCCTCGCATGAATTACTTTAATGCACGGCCACTCAACCCCGAAGTGTGTGTGCACCCTCTGCAGCAGACTTCCACGGGATTTGATACTGTAGCATGCCAACTGCAAGTCAGTGTATGTACATTGTGCATGTCCGCCTGACGCAAAACTCAATGACATCCACGCACACATTCCAAACACGACACTCAGAAAATGAGATGGGATTCACCATGATTCACCATGATTCCGAATCTGTTGGCCTTTCAGATTGCCTTTTCACTTGAGCAGAGTGTCTGGTAACACTTCTACGGCCAAGCCCGACCCTCCCGGCTCCCGGACCCGCGCGTCCGGCGAAGGCGTTCGACCGGGTCGAGGCGTCGGAAGAGCTCTCGACCTGGGGCGTTCAACGGAAGAACTGGGGTGAAAAAACCACGCCTGGCCTCCAACCGTTCGTAGCGTCCTTGTTACTAGTAAGGCACTTGTTACGAACGAAGCGATGCACTTGTTCCTAGTAGCTTCTTTGTTCCTAGTAGCGTC